GAGCAGCTGGAGTATGACTATGCTAGACCTGTTGGTAATGGCAGCCGCAAAGGAAGTAGGGGGAAATCAATTTCAGTTAAAACTCCTGTTTGCCGATACAATCCTGCTTCTTCATCAGATATTAATGATGATAAAAGAATGCTAGCAACAGGGCAAGCTAATTGGGGCTTGAGTGAAGAGTATGAGGATTTATATTATAGTGAAATAGGTTACAAACCCTCCATCAGGGCAAATAGATAATTCTTGTGATGATAAGGTAAAATACATAAATATTTCAGGACTGCAGCTGTCACCACCATCTTCATCATCAATAGCAAGACCACGACTACAAGCATCACCATTGCAACCACCACCGCCACTACCATTGCTGTCTTATTCTGAAGAAATTTCAAAATCTAAATCTAGAGAGCAAGTCGATGAATATGATATGCCACTTGACCCACCCACTGATAGTGAATATACATCCATGGATAATATTATTATTCCTCAGTCAGCATTTCCTCCACCGCTACCGCCACGTCCTAAAAGAACAAATGAAATCATGCAAGATGATTATGATTTATTGCCAGAAGAACATGCTTATCAAATCTTTGATCCAAAAATGATGCTTCTCAAGCCTGCCAACATAATTTTGAATGGTCTTGCAGCGACTAATCCATCAGAATCAGTGATGTTAAATGATGTCTGTACAGGCCCGCTTGGAAGCATGATTTTTACTGATCAAATAAGCTTTTGCATAAGGATACTCATGACAGCTGATGAAAAACCGCACAAATTGGCAAAAGAGATGAAATGTCAGTTGCAAGCTGTTGCCTATGACCAAAAGAGTGCAAGAATTATATTTGCAAGTGAAAAGGGTTTACACCGCTTGGAATTCGATGAGACCAAACCAAATAAAGTAAAAAATCCAAAGCTGTTCTTGAAAGATAGTTATTGCATGTCTATCACCAGTACTAAACCAATAAGAGGAGAGGAAACTTTTATCTATGCAGTGACAAAGAAACATGGAGAAACATTCATTTCCTGCTTCAAACAAAATGGCCAGTTTGTGAATAAGCTAGACGTTATGGGCAGACCTTGTTGTATTGCTTACAAGGATGGTTATCTAGTAGTTGCAACTTCACAAGACAGAAATCTCATCAAAATAAATACAAGTGGATCTCCTCTTTGGGATATTGATGTTGATGCCAGGAAAAAGGGTGTCCTTTTCGACCCATTTCGAGTTGTAATCCTACCAAATCACAACATTGCAGTGTCTGAAAGAAAGCAACATTGCATTTCTGTCTTTTCAAAGGAAGGACAACATATTTTAAGATTCGGTCAATTTGGTGATGAACCAGGAATGTTTAACCAACCAACTGGAATTGCCGTTTGTCTTGAAAAGGAACTGGTAGTTGTGGATTCTGGAAACAAAAGGATACAAATATTTGCTTTGGATGAGCTTGCCAAAGAATTTGAAATTGCAGTCGTAGAAAAGGAAAGAGCTGAAAATGAAGAGTCTGATGATGATGACAATACAATAGAATTGTAAAAGTATGGGTGAATTAGTCTTGGCAGCTATTATTAAAATTTTATAAAGTAGATTAGTGGTACTATAATATAGTAGTCTTGTATAATATTTTTTCATTTTATTTTTAAAGCTGTAAATTATAGTACTTTTTGTGGTTTATTGCATCATCTTTTAAATGAGGAAACAATTTACAGATAATGAATATATTCAGTTAATATACTTTTTTCTGATACATATACATGTTGTGAAAAAGTTTGAACTGATTCCAATCAAAATTGTTTCAGTTCTTATTTTTATACTTGCCTAAATGTTGGCCACATTAGTACTACCATTAGTACACATTGGTATTACTTTCTGATAGATGTAAGTACATTGAAATTGGAGATACAAGTGGAGGAATCAATGAAGTAAAGAAAAAAATTGCAGTACTTTAGTTGCTGTAATCCTTATATTTTTAGGTATAACTGGTGGTCAAAGTGGTTGTATACTTTTGCTGGCAATATTTGCAGAATCTATTTGGATATTTCAATGCTCTTGTACATGTAATATTAGTAACATAGTTTTCTATGTGTCTTTAGCAACTGTAATTAAACAAACATGTCTTAATTGTTAACTTATTAATGTTATAAGAATTAGCTTCAAACAGCATGAGGTGCATTTTTCTTCATATCTTCACCAATCTGAACTAATTGTTCATCTTCTTGTCTGGTGAGTATGTCACACACCGCAATGAGGTTATCATTAGGTGCATCTATTGTTTGCAGCCTTTTGTGCAGCTCACGAATTAATCTACTGCCTCTTTGATAATTGGAGTAACTAAGAACTGTTGTGATGTCATCTAGTATTGAGTGGCTGATGAGTCCTGCACTAAGAAACTCATCACTGATTCTATCAAAGATAGTGCTGGTGCCAGAACCAATGATGGAGCTTAATGCAAAAACTTTCTCTCGAAATACTTCAGATGCTGCATGTAATAGGTTTTTACTAGCACAATATTTATATCATTGTTTACCTTCATTTGATTTTTCACTAGCAGTGCTAGCTGGTGCTGGCTCCAATGCAGGTAAAAATGGTGCTAAAGTACACATAACATTCATAAATGTAATTTATTCATTATACAACTACAAAAACTTACTGCAATCATTTTTTGATTTACGTATTACAATGGCAATACTGTCTTTATCTCCTACATTGATTCCATTGACAGTGATTCTATATTGAAGCCATTCAGCAGCTTCCTCTGCTGCTTGCAATAATACAGAAATATATGGAGGAAGGTCACTTGAAGTGTTGGACTCAGTATAAGCACGTACATCTCTTTCGTGTATCTATATGTAAACAATCATACATTATTCTCTGGTGTTTTGTTCTTTACTATAGAAGGTTCTGCAAGTGGTTGTACAGTCCATCCAATTGGCTTATCTTGAGAAAAATCCAGCTCTAGTTGGCTTTCCTTTCTCATCAGAAAGGGAAAATTCCATTCTTCCTCTCCAAACTTTTTATAAGACTCCTTCTACAGATATAATACAATTTATTTAACAGATCTATTGTAAGTGGTATAAACCCACTTTAAACTTGATGATTGCATTATTGTGAGGAAGGTCATTTAAAGCTGCAAAATTCATTTTCATAATGTCAGACCCTCTCTTGTAATAGATCAATCCTTGACATCTCAGTAAAGGAACTTGTGAAAATTGGTCTAAGTATGTATAAACTTTATTCAAAAAAGGTATGCATACATGTATTTGAACTTACATCCAATAGCAGCTGCAACTGCTGCAGTTGCTGACACCACCAATACAATAGCAATCAATGAGAACTCCTTTAACTGTATGGTACCATATTTGGAACGAGCAAGGAATTCCCCTCCTGGTAAGAGATCAAACTTAAATGGAGGTTGAGAAGAATGTGAGACAACAAAACTGAGATACTTGCTCTGAGATTGATCAGTAATGCTAGCACAATGCATTAACTGAACAGTGACTGGCTTATCTAATGGCAACGGAGAATTGAGAGAAACTGAAGTGACAGAGCTGATGAGCTGGGTTCCTTTAGGAAATACAAATTGCCCAGCCCATAATCCTTTAACTGTCACATCATAGCTAACAGTTGCTGCTGATTCAACTGCAGGAGTTGCGACTACTTCCTGAGGAAAAAACAGATTTAGACCACATTGTTGTAAATTAAAGATATTGTTTGTATCACTGGTAAAAGAGACATTTCTTTCAGTGAAAATGTTATCTTTAGTAGATGTTCCTGCAAACAAATAAAATTAATTATTAATTACACACTAAAATTCAAGTTACCATTTGTATCACTATAACTATCAATAACAACATTATGTTCATGGTGATGCATCAAAAACTAATAAATTTAAGCAAAATACACAGTTTAATTAATGACAGTAAATTATA